GGCGCGGGGCGCAGCCCGCGGGCCCTGCCGCGCTCCGCCTGCCGCAGTCCGCGCCCGCCGGGCCCCTCCGGGGACACACTCACAGGACTCCCTCCGCCCCGCTCGCCTCTACCTTGGGGCCCGAGCCGAGGCTGCGCTCCTGTCCCTGCCCGGGACTTAGCCTGTGAGGGAAGGAGACCCCTACGTGCTCCCTCGCACGGGCACGGACACGCACCCGCGCGCACCTGCTTTCCGCGGTGGCCCGAGGCGAGGTGGCCACCAGCGGTGGGGCCGGCCCGGGCTCCGGGCCAAGGTGCGCCGGACGGGGGCGTGGGAACGAGCGCAGGCCGAGGGCAGGGGCTGCGGGCGGGGGAGAACCGGGGTCTCCACCTGCGTCCCCATTCTGGCCGGTCCCCGCCTCTCTGGTCCCCTCCCCGGTCATCCCGGGTGGGGGGCGGGGTGACGGCAGGTAGCGCCCGCTCCTGCGGCTCCGCGCCTGGCGCGTGTAACTATATATAATCTGCGGGGCGGGGGAGGCTGCCTCGCCGGCTCCAAGTGCTAATTTATGAGGGAAAGACAGCCAGCTCCCCAGAGTGCCAGGGGAGGCTGTGCACCGAGGAGGCAGAGAGAGGGGGCCCGAGGAGGGCAGTGGGCAGCCTCCGCAGGGGCTTTGGGGCCTTTCCCTCGCAGCTCCACCGCGGGAGGGTGGCTCTCTCCATTTCTCAGAATAGGAGCTTGAGGCTGGGGGCGGGGTGCGACTCGCCCAAGGTCACACAGCAGAGGCTTTCATTGCAGGCGCATCTGCCTCCTGGCAGCCTAGTTGGGGCTGGAAGCAATCTCTGGCCTCTCTCCCTCTGTCCCTGTCCTCACAACACCCAGAGGCTGGCCCAGGAAGGGCTCTCGGCTGGGGCCCTCTGCTGGAAGGTGGAGCCCCCCACTTCCCAAGGGTGGGACGGCCTGCAGGGGCCTGGCCCGGCAGCTCCTTGGCTTCCCACCAGGCTAGAGTGGGCAAGGGTGTGCGCAAAGCCACTTGCCTAGTTAGGGGAGGACCACATGGGTGGTGGGCATGCGCCACCCCCCAGGAGCCCTGCCTGGGGCTGCTCCCACCAGCCATTGAGGGCAGCCTGCCCAGAGACCACGGCTGTGCTCAGGACATTTAGAAATGCTATGATGTCAGGTTATAAAGGTCGCATGTCATTGGGGTAGAAAGTTTGATGAAAGGGAAAGCAGGAAGGAGCAGCTAGGATGCCCCACTGCTCCTCCAGAGGAAACAGTCATAGCATGTTTGGTGCGGTCTCTCTGCGCACGTCCCTAACTGGCTTATTTACCAGGGGGCAGCGGCTGTGTGTGACTCGGCATGGCCACTCTGCCAGCCGCTCTGCTAGCGTGTGTGGGGGGCTGGGCCCATCTCCCCCACCCGGAGTCCACCCCATGGGTCTCCCAGCGCCCCGCCCCACCGCCGCTCACTGTGCGGCACCTCTCCTTGCAGTGCTCTGCTTTGCCCTGACCCGCTCGCTGCTGCTGACGTGCCTGGTGCCGGCCGGGCTGCTGGGCCTGCGCTATTACTACAGCCGGAAGGTGGTCCTTGCCTACCTGGACTGTGCGCTGCACACGGACATGGCTGACATCGAACAGTACTACATGAAGCCCCCTGGTGAGTCCCCAGGGTCTCCAGCCCCTCCTCTCTCCTCCCTTTGCCCCTGCTGCCCTCTCTCCCAGTCCCCTCCTTTTGGCAGAGCCACCCTCCCCCCAGCAATGTCAGGGCAGGCCTGGGGAAGGGTCAGGCATGAGTGGGCCTGGCTGTAGCACCCCCATGACCTGAGCCTTATGGGTGCCTGAGGGCTCTGGCTACGGGTTGGGGGTACAGCAGCCTGGCAGGGGCTGCAGGAGGCAGAGCTAGGTCCTTGGTGCTGAACCAAGGTCCCTGAGTGTCCATACAGGCCTGCCTGGCCCTGGGCTGCTGTCCTGCGTCCTCTGAGGGCAGGGTGCTGAGTGGCCTGAGCTGGCCCAGGGCCATAGTGTCCTGGCTCCGCTCTGCATGCTGCCAGATGCCCTTTCCTTGGTGCTTACTGCGGGGGATGGGGGTCTTTCTTACCTCTTGTTCGTCCTGTTCGGTGTGCCTTGCTGGATCCTGAGGTGGCCTGGAGTACCAGGGCCCTGGTGGAGGGGAGCCTGTGTGGCAGGGGCAGAGGACCCCATGGCTGGGAGAGGACCCAGGGAAGGGCAATGGTCCCTCTGGGGGGATGAGGACCCTGGGGAGCAGGGGTGTTAAGTCTCGGTCTCCACTTCCGGTCTCTGAGCCACTTAGTGAGCCAGAGGGTCTCACCCCAGCTGCCTGGCCTCTGTAGAGGGAGGGGTTGGGGCCTGATCTGGAGGGGCTTGCAGCCCCCTGGGGGCCATTCTCTGTCCTCTAGACTGGCCCCGAGGCAGGCTGGGTCCTGGGAGGCAGGGCCATGTGGTTTTCTCCATGCCTGGAGCTGGAGGAGAAAGCCTTCATCTCGGGCCTCTGGGGCGTGAGGTTCTCCTAGGTGCTGGAGGGTCCCCACGCTGAGGAGAGGGGACAGGGTGGGCCCAAACAGTTGGTTAGGGTCTAGCAGGAGCCTGGTGAGTGCCAGGGAAGGCAGCAGGGGATAAGAGAGACAAGGCATCCCAGAGCAAGGGTGACCTGCCCTGGCACTGCCAGCTCCTGTGCCCACTGGCTCTGGCTGAGCCGGCCCATCCTGTGGTGGCTGGTCCTGCCCCTGCCACTGCCTGGCTGGCCTTGGGCACCTTTGGTTTTCCTTGATTCTTTCCCAAGCCCAAACAAAGCATCTTATCAGCCTCTCTGGAGCCCTAGCTTCAGCCTGGCTTTGCCTGGGATGGGAGGGAGTGGAGGGCTGAGACCCACCTGGGTTACCAGCCACCTGGCTGGTAACAAAGCCCAGGCTGCAGGAGCAGAAGTGGGTCTTGCCCCTGAGACATCTGGTGGGTCCGCAGGAAGCTCCCACAAGGGCAGAGAGGCTGGACAGCAGCTGATTGGGCCATGCTGGATTCATGGGAGCTGCTCGTACAATGGAGAAACTGAGGCCTGGGAAGGAGTGAGGCTCTCAGGACTGTCCTGACCTCTGGTCTGGCCTTGGTGGGCCTGGGTGGAGTGAGAGCCAGATTCCCTGGACAGTGAGCAGGCCAGTTGATGGAGGGGGACAGTCAGGGGCAGCGGGTACTCTGCACCACCCTCAGCCATTCCTGAGCTCTGGCCACATGCCCGGTCTCAGGGTGTGGCAGTGAAGGAAACAGGAGACCCCCGTGCAGAGCTGATGGGCTGATGGGCATGTCGGCAGAAAAGACAGTGGGGGACCCCCCAGGAGTTGGGCAGAGGGGTGAGGAGAGTCTTCCAGACAGGGGTCAGGTGCAGAACTTTTAATGGGGAGAGTTTGACCACTCAAGGAGTGAGGCTAGGGTGGGAGGAGCGGTAGGAGGTGGTTGGTGGAGGACCCAGTGATGGGGGCTGGAGTGGCCATGGGCAGGGCGTGTGCAGGCCAGTCTTCTTGGAGCAGGCACTTCCCCACTGCACGGCTCCTGCCTCCTGTAGCCCCTGGGCTTTCAGTTACCAGAGGTGATCAGACACTCTTTGTGGCCTGTACCCTACAGGCCTCTCTCCCCTCCCCTCCTTGCTCCTCTCCTCACCCCCCTGAGGCCTTCTCCCTCCTCCTCCTCCTCCCCTGCATGGGGCTGTGATTGGTCTTGGCTGTGAATGGGGATGGCTGGCCTGGCCACTGGGCTCTAGAAGCCAGGGTCAGTGGGGTGGGGGGTGGCGTGGTGCCCATGGCCATCCTAGGTTCCCCACTTGGATTTCTGAAGTGTTCTCCACGTGGACCTTCCCCTGACCCTGCCAGGGGCCCGCCTCTTTATGTCCTGACACAGGCAGGCCACAGGGCTTCCAGGTTAAGCAGCCCCTGATTCAGGAGAGTGGAGGCCACAGGGTTGGCAGAGCCAGAAACCCTGAGACCCTCCCAAGGCCCCTGGGCTTGTGGCTCCCAGAGGTGGCCCTGCTGCCCTGGTCTATCCTCCCAGTCCCCTCTCAGCCCCATTTGTAGGGGTCCTTCCGGACACTCCCTCATGGTACGTACTTCTCTCCAGCTCCCTGGTGTGGACATGTGGGGACAAGTATGGTGGGCCCTAGGTGGCTGGGAGCCAGGGCAGGTCAGCTGCACTCATGGCCTGACCATGGTCATCTGTGGTCTGGGGGTAGGTAGGAATGAGAGGGGCCCGTTTGGCTGAGGCCTGCCCAGCTCTTGGTTTCTGGGGAAGGGGCTCTGGCCCCAGAGCCCTCCCCTGCCCAGTGTCAGGCCTAGGGCCATTCCAGGGCTGCTGTGGGTAGCAGGCAGGTTGGGCCTGGCTCTCTCTGCTCAGAGGGCTCTGGAGGGGCAGCTGTGTCATGCAGCAGTGCCAGCAGCAGTGACCGCCCTGTTCCCCACAGGCTCCTGCTTCTGGGTGGCTGTGCTGGACGGCAATGTGGTGGGCATCGTGGCGGCGCGGGCCCATGAGGCGGACAACACGGTGGAGCTGCTGCGCATGTCCGTGGACTCGCGCTTCCGCGGCAAGGGCATCGCCAAGGCGCTGGGCCGCAAGGTGCTGGAGTTCGCTCTGGTGCACAATTACTCTGCGGTGGTGTTGGGCACAACGGCAGTCAAGGTGGCCGCCCACAAGCTCTACGAGTCTCTGGGCTTCAGACATATGGGTTCGAGTGACCACTACGTGCTGCCCGGCATGACCCTCTCACTGGCCGAGCGCCTCTTCTTCCAGGTCCGCTACCACCGCTACCGCCTGCAGCTGCGTGAGGAGTGACCGCTGCCCGCCTGCCCGCCTGCTGCCCCGGCTGCCCCATCCGCCTGCGCCCGCCTGCCCGCCACCCGGGCCCGCTTTCAGACACTCACCTTGGTGTTTGTGTTGGGTTTTTCTTTTTTTCAACATCACGTGGTTCTTTGGCTGGTTCTTGGGGAGTGTGGAGCTATTGCTCATCTGTGACTCTTCGGGGGGGGTCAGTTGTTTGCAGCCACGGTCCCTCGCCCTCCATAGCCTGCTGGGGCCATGCCCTGAAGAGTGACAGCATGGACCACCATGTGCCCACACAGCTGCCTGGCCCGGCTCGAGGGGTCTCTTCCGGCCCACCACCACTGGGGCAGGCCCAGTCTTGCCCACCAAGCACAGAACCTCTGCAACGAGGCCCTTGCCTAGCAGGCCCCTGGCCACCAGCCAGGCTGTGGCTCAGCCATTGGTCCCCAGGAGGCGTGGCCTATTGGGCTGGCCGGCCACTGCCCTGTGGGGTGCCGAGCTGGCCGCGGGCCCCGCTTTGCTCTGTGCATGCTGAGGATGTGGCCTGGCTGCAGCATGCCGCATGCCCACAGCCTCCCGCCCTGCTGCCCTGTCCAGACTGGGCCCAGACTGGTGAACGACCCTGGCCCCAGCCCTGAGCCAGCCTCGGGTGACCCACCTGCTCTCTGGAGGGCTAGGCTGTCCATGCCACCCCTGGCTTCACCCAGTTCAGCTTTCCTTTGACATCATGTTTCCTTTTTTTCCTCTTGGGCCCACTCCTGCCTGCCCGGGCTTTGCTGATTGGCGTCATCACCCAGGTGTGGTTCCCATAGCAACCTGTTGCACAGCCGTGTCAGGCCCTTCAGGAGAGTAGGGTGGGGAGGCACTTGTGGGGTCGCCTCTCCCCCAGTGCCAGCTAGATCATGGTGGCCTCTCCCAGACCTCACGGCTGATGGGCTCTGCCCTGTGAATCTTACTAACCCAGGCCGCTGCCGACACCACTGAGCCCACAGCTTCTCCCAGCCTGAAACTGACCTATTTTTTAGTAAGTTATTTAGACAGACTAGCATTCTGCATGACTTTAATTCTTGGGACAAAATGGTAGTTTATACCTTAACACACACACCTGTGTGGTCTAGAATATGCACTATTTCTGGCCCAGTTTGGTGGGGGTGGGTGGCCGGGTGGGTGGAGGGTTTCAGAGTTTGAAATCTGGAGGGATACCCTGATTTAGCATAACTTCTCCCAAAAGAGCACTCCTGGTTTATGAGGCGGCTCTGGGCCACTCAATCCAGCCCTGACCTGCAGGACTGAGGGCAGGATGGGAGTGAATTCCCCACAGCCTCTGGGTGGCAGAGTTGGGGCCGCTGCCTTCAGGTGGAGCGAGTGGGTCTCATGATCCACCGTGGCTCAGGGGGCCGGCTGTGCTCCCAGCCTCTTTCCTGAGGTCAGAGGAAGGGGCTCTTGGGTGTGGGATGGCCTGGAGCAGGAGAGGAAGGTGGTGGTTGACAGTGCCCACGCGTCCAGCTGTAAGCCTGGACCTGGCTACAGTAGCAGGAGGGGCATAAACGCCCACCAAGACTCCTTTGTTTGGGGTTTTGGGGGAGGGGAGAGTGGCAGGTGTGGCGGGCCACAGAGCTGGGTCCCACAACTGGGACCACGGAGGGGACATTCTTAAAAAGGCGCTTTGGAAATTAGCAAATGAATGAAACATGCCCAGTGCCTGAGGGGCCTTTCGTGCTGTCAGCATTCAGGATGTTTGCAGAACACTGTACAGACCCCGCTCTCCCCTGTACATTTCTCCCTGGTGGTGCCCGGTCCCTGCTCGGGGATGGGAGTTTTGTAGACTGTACAGAAATTGGCACCCTATTTTCTTGCAGCTCTCAGATTTTGTTAATCTGGATTATACAGACAGACGTAAAGTGTTTTAGCAAAATGGAAAACAAACAGTTGTGCCTTTTTCCTCTTTCTGTTTGGTTTGGTTTCGGCTTGGGGGCGGACTTAGTTGGCATTGGGCGTGTTGGGGGCTGTGGCTGGTCTGAGGCCTGGCCAGACGGGAAGGGCACGCGGAGGCCATGTGGGGTCAGCTTGGTGGGTCGTGTCTTATAAGATGGTAGCTCGAGGACGCCGCCAGCTTCCTTTGATCCTGTGCCTTTGGAGCCTCTGGTCCCTCGTGTGGGGGCATGTGAGTGGGGGCTGTTGGAGCCCACTGAGGCCAGGGCAGAGCCTGGGGCCCTGGGGCTGCCAGTGTCTGGTTGATGTTGACCAAAATGCCTCGCTGGCGTTGGTCCTGGGCAGTGGTGTGGCCCTCTCCTGTCCTGCTGGCATCTGTCTGTCCATTTGAGATCTGCGGGCTAGGTGGGCTGCTGTGTCTTCCCTGGTCGGATAGCCCAGAGGCTAGCTGGACTCTCGACCTTCCTTTATTGCCCTTATTTTGCTGCCAGGACTCGGGAGAGATGCCAGGAGGGGCGTAGCAGGGTGGCCACGTGTCCAGAACCCTGCTACCCAGCTGCTGCCTGGCCGCTGAGGTAGGCAGAGGCATCTATGTGCCCACTGGGCTGGGTGTGCACAGCGCCCAGGAGTGGGCCCTCATCTGGCTGGTGTGTGGCTCCGTAGGCCCCCGAGGACCACTAGGGGGCAGATCTCCCATCTTGCCCCTGGGCTGGAGGCTGGGCGCGCTGGTTAGGGGGCCGCCGCCTCCCTCCAGCCTAGGAGCTAACTACTCCACAAACGTGCACTGAGATGTGAATTTTATACATTTGTAGAAATTCTGATGTTACTTCTTCTACCTCTGTGAAGTGTCCTCCTGGGGTCCTGCTCAGTGAGGTATCTGGGCAGCTTCTCTGAGCTGGCTGCCCTGGGCCCCTTCCCCCTCCCTGCTGGCCTCCTGGGCCTCCCCCAGTGGCCGCCTGGTGAGGCCCAGGGAAAGCTAGCCCCGGACCCGGCCGCTGTGCTCAGGGGTCAGGGCTCCCGGGACTTGTCTGTTTGGAAGTCTCTGTTTTTGGAGCAGAAATCGGAGGTGGAGTGTTCCAGAATGTCTTTGTTAGATGAGCCTGGAACACAGACCCGATGGACAGCTCCAGGCAGTGGGATCTGGGGCAGCGGAGGGCTCCAGCACCTCTGGACAGCCCTGTGCCACTGGGTCCTGGCATATGGCTGGTGGGCGTCCCTGGGGCAGCTCCCACCACCCAAGTATGGGCTCTGCAGACAGCTGGCCAGCGTGGGTGGTTTGCATGTGCTGAGGCTAGCCATGTGATCTGGCCCCAGGAAGGGCCATGTCCAGCTTAGCCTCCCACTGCTGCCCTTGGTTGAAGGGGGCGGAGGGATGGGGCCAGCCTACCCTATGGAGGTGGGGCTGGCCCTGCAAGAAGGCTTGGGTTGGGAGGCCCTACAGACATCTGGCCTAAGGCTGTGAGGTCCTTGGGCGGGCCCCACCTTGCTCAGGGCGTCCTTCCTTAGAGAAGACCCTTAGAGGGGACAGGGTGGGGCATGCTCCTCAGGTGGCTTCCCCAGGTGTCTGGAAAGTGCTTGGGAGGCTCTCTGAGCCAGAGGGCCTGGCTCTGGCCTCTGGGAATGCGGCATGTTGCCTGTGCTGGGGCTGGCTGGGGGGGTTGGGTGGCACCCCTGGGGCCACCTTCCTGCCAGTGTCCTGGCGATGGCTGGACAGTGGCCCCTGAGCCCTGGGAGTCGCCGCCTCTCTCCGGCCAAGTGGGTGGTGGTGCTGCTGTGTCCTGTGTTACCTGCTGCTCCTGTGTCTGTTTGAAGCCGCTTCTGTGAATCAGTTTTGGCCATAGGCTCGTGTTCCTGTCCTGGTGGTTCTTTGGCTGAGGCTTTTGGGGTTTGAGTTCTGGGCAGATCCTGGAATAAGTTGCTCCTTGGTGCCAAGGATGTGCTTCCAGTGGTGGTGTGAGGTCCGCTGGCAAGTGGGCGGCCCAGGGCCTGGGGTGGAAGAGGATGAGCCCTGAGCTACCATTGTTGGATGTATTTTTTTTTTTTACAGCAATAATTAGCCATTTTGAAGAAGGGGTGTGCCTGTGTGTGTGCGTGCACGTGTATGCATGTTTGTGCCTGTGTGTATGTGCATGGGTGTGTGCACATGTGTGCCTGTGCTTGTGTGTGTGCGTACACTTGTATGGTGACAGGGAGGGAACCTGATGGCCAAAGGCCTCCTGCTCCAGCCATGGAAGGGGAGGCCAGGAGGTGCTTGGCAGGGACGGGTTGGCCGCGAGGCCTGTGCTGAGAAGCAGGGTCCTTGCAGGTGGCCATGCCCTGAGCTCTGCTGCTGTGCCACTCTCCCTTTTTCGGGGCTTGCCTGGGGCCCAGCGGACCTTGAATGTAGTGCTCCTTCCCCCTCGCGAGGGGTGCTGGAAGGGCCTGCATGAAGGAGGGGGGTGACCCAGGATGAGCCTTTGCCTGGATCTCAGCATGTGGGGAGGGTGGCAAGGGTGGTGACACTCAGCCACACTGGCCGAGATTAAATTTGGTGACACGGAGTCACCTGGGCCAGGCTGTCTGACCACAGCTGCATGGATGCTGTGTCTTTGGGAGAGGAGAGCCCAGAACATGTCACGGTGGCTGGCTTCACTTACTGTGGTTTACTGTTTGTGAGCCCATGACTATGGCGACTGTCCTGAGACCCCCAGGATGTGCCAAAACAGCTCCAAGAGGGCCCAGAGGGGCAGTGGACCAAGTTCCAGAGGAGACGGGCTGTGGGGCCAGGGGTGGGTGGGGTCTCAGGCTTCCTGTGGGTGTGTGAGCAGCAGGAGGGGTGGGGAGCGGTGTGGTCCCTCTGCCTGCACGGCCCCCAGTGCTGCTGTTTTTCAATAAAACCAGAGTTGATGGAACCAGGCTCCCGTGCTTTTTTGAGGTGTCCCCCGGCCAGTGCTGGGCGAGGAAGGGCTGCTTTTCTGGAGACACTGGGCTCCTCCTCCAGGAGGGTGGAGCAGGTGCTCTGGGTGACCTGAGGGGCTGAGAGGCCCCTGTCCCTGTGCTGGCAACCCCAGCCAGGTGCTCCACTGCAGGCTGGGGTGTCCGCCTGCCCACTGGACACCTCCGAGGAGCAGTTTGGCTCTGAGGGGTGGTGTGAGGCCCACCTGGAAGGGGCATGGCACCCTGGTGTCTGTAAGGGAGGGAGGACAGCATGGGGTGGGGGTGGGGGGCCCAGGCCGAGGAGCGGGGCAAGGGGGGTGCTCAGAGACAGGTTCAGGGTGGACACACACCGGCCTTGTTGACAGGACCCCTTGTTGAGCCCGCCCAGCCCTGGACAGCTGTCCACAGTGAGCCTTCCTCTGGCCACACTCCTTCCACCCTGGCCCAGCTCCCCTCATGGGAGGAACTGGGCCTGGCAAATTTCTTCCCTGACGGCTCTGCCCTCTCTCAGCCATCAGGAGGGCGTCAGGTGTGTTCCTTTCTCTGGCAATGTCTAAGTTGAGACCAGTGTCTGTCAGTGGGTCTCAAAGCCTGAAGGCACCAGCACCGGGACGTGCCCGCCCCATGACTTCTTCCCTGCGTGACATACACCGGCCCCCACCGGCCCTGGGAACACAAGGCATGTTTGGACGTCAGCTCCTAAGGCCAGTCTTTTGTTTTGAGCCAGAAGTACCGTGTGAAGCCCAGTAGTGGTCGTGCCTCTGAGGTGACACAGTATAAAGACAGGCTGCTGGAGGCGTGGCCACTCACGCCCACACGCACATGGACACAACACAGGCAGCTGGAGTGGTGGGGCCCAGCAGCAGTTCTGGGCCAGCTCTCCAGATTCTGGAATGTTCTGTCACACAGTGGTCAGGTCTGGCCATCCAAATCCTGCCCACCCTGTGAAACCAGTGACAATATCTTGAATCCATGTGTAAAACAGGCCTGGGCCCAGTACACTGTGATGCCCCGTGTCACTCTGAAAAGATGATGCTGTGTCCAGTGGGCTCTGCAAGGAAGCGGCGTGTAAAATCCAGTCACCACTCCAACAGCAGCAGCCTTGGCACACACAGGAGGAGTGTCCTTGCTCAGACCTGGAGCTGGTCTGGGCGCCCATCAACATGGTCACCACACCCTGGACAGGTGCCGCGGGGACCCAGCACCCCGCTTACAGGGCGGCACGTGGAGTCCAGACCCAGATAAGGAAGCCAGTGGGAGGGGCTGAGACCCCTGGGAGTGCCAGAGTGGTCTGGAAATGGGACCCCCAGAGGAATATTCGCAGGGGCCGAGACAGAGGCAGCAGAGCAGTGGTGCAGGGCGTGGGCCCGGGCTGTAATCCCAGCCTGCACACTTACTAGCCATGTGTGCTTGTACAAGTGGTGTCACCTCTCCGTGCCTCAGTTCCCCTACTGTGCAAGGGAGGATCATGTTGGTGCCTCTGTCACAGGCCACTGCAAGGCTCTTGGGGTACATGGACTGAGCCCTTCCCCTCAGCACTGGCAGGTCTGTGAGAACTGCTTTGAGAGTAGACTCGGGGTGGGGGCGGAGGAGACAGCATGTTCCCAGGGACTGGTCACCAGCCTGCAGGAAGCTTGTGGAGAGACCACGGGGCCTGTGATCCTGTGACTCCAGAGGCCCCCGTAGCATGGCCGAGCCTCTTAGAGACTCGAGCACCCCCACACAGGCTCCTCTGGCCTCTGGAGGAGTCGGTCAGGAACACTAGCCCAATAGCTGCAGCGCAATGTTCTCTCCAACCCCGTATATGCCCCTGGGCCCGGCCTGGGAGGAAGGTGCATGCCTGGCAGCTGTGGGATGGTCACAGAGCCAGCAGGGAGGACTTCCTGGGGCCTCTAGGCTGCTGGCAGCTCCTTGGGCACTTGCTAGGTGGTGCACAGCTGTCGACCTGGAGGAGCCCACCGCTAGGCTCCATGGGAGAAGGGCTAGGGGTGCCCACCCTGGACCGGGCTGGGCCACTCCTGTTTAGGGTGCTCAGCCCTGACTCTGACCAAGTAGCTGGGGATTGTAGACATGGCATTTTCCACCCATGGGAAGAATTCACTTCGACAGGGACAAGGACGGCTTTGTATAAGGCATTTACTTCAGGGGATGATCCGGGGGTGATTGTGGCCCTCACCAGGGTCTGCTCTCCGGACGGAGCTAGTACAAAGCACCCAATGCTGACCTTGGGGAAGGCCACACAATAGGCTGGTGGAAACCAGTTCTCTCCTCCTGCTGTTGCCTGGGGCTACAGACAAAATGAAGGCGAAAAATGCACACACTAGGGGTAGGTGCTGACAAGGGGCCCTGCAGTGGCTAGGCGGTTGCTTGGAGACTCAGCAGGACGTGGGCTGGGCCGAGGGCCTGGGGCCTCTTGCAGCGGCACCAGGTGTCCCCACGAGCGGCCGGCACTCAGGCTCACCTTCAGGGGCACCTGTGGGTGGCAGTCAGAGGTGAGTACCAGGCCTGGGCCAGCCCTTCCTGGCCACCTTCCAGGCCCACATGCAGGTGGACAGGGACTCACAGTACACAGGCAGCCACTTGCCCCAAAGACACGATTAGACACAGCCATAGCAACACTGCCATGGACAGATGTACCCTCACGCACACTCGCAGTAATAGGCAGACAGGCTCACACTGCATCTACCCCCCAGTCGTAACACCTCGACCTTGGCTAAGCCCCCTACCTGACCTGCCAGGGCCTCTGTGCTAGCTAGGCCAGGCAAGGTCCCTACCTGTGCTCACCACCTTGAGGTCCCGCTCACCTGGAGGATTGGCTGGCTCCAAGAGGTGCCAGGGGAGCTAGAGAGTCCTCCCGGGGACACTGATCCTGAGTGGGCCTTTGCCCAACGCCCTGGACCACAGCTTAACAGCTTCCTCTCGCCAGGGAGGGTGGAGGCTGCCCATAGCTGCAGCCCCCTGCCACCCTGCTGCCTTCAGGACTACTAGTGGGGTAGGGTGGGGCTTCCTGGGCTTCCAGGGACCACAGGGCCCCCATGTCTCTGCCTGTCATAGGAGCAAGCACGGACTACCCTGGAACACAGGAATTTCCAGTTCTGGTTGGACCCGTGCGGGCGCTCCTTGACCCTGCCAGGCTGCAGCCTATAGGATGAGGTGAGGGGTCTGTGGGGGGAAGCTGATGCCCGTGCAGTGGCCCCAGGGGCACAGAGTGTTGCCACAACCCGCTGGAGGGAAGAGCGAGGTGGGAGGAGGGAGCCTTTACCAGAAGAGTGGAGACCACCAAGGGAGCAGTGGCGAGCCAGCTTTTCCTGCAGCCCTTCCTGGGTGGCTCTGAGGTGCCTGCTGGGCCAGAGCCCTCCACCCGAGTGACAGGGATGGGTGACAGGAACATCTCTGGCCCCGCCCGGGTGGTCTGCACATGCTTCCAGGACTCCCACTTCTCGTTATTCCTCCATCTTCCTCACCACCCTAGAGGGGCCTGGATCTGGAAGTCTTTTCCTCACAAGGACCTGGAGCCCCTTCCGAGAGGTGACCAGCCAGGAGTGGGGCTGGGACTGGGCTCAGCATGCCCTGGGGTGCACCTGGGGCAGGTGGGGGCGGCCCTGGGTGGAGGTTTGATGACACACCTTGCCAAGCCTCGAGGGGACACCTGGCCCAGCACCCTCAGCCCCTGAGGACACCCAGTGTGGCTTCTCACCAGGCAGATGGGCCATGCCTTATCACCCAGGGTAACTTGGCTCCTTGGCTGGGCAGGTCAGGAAGGGCAGCTGTCTCGGGGCCAGGTGCTGCTGGCAGGGCTGGGGCTGCACCCTCCATCCTGGCTCTCTTGCCCCTTGGGGAGTGGACTCTCCTCTCCCACCTGGGCAGCTCTGGCTGTGTGTGTGCAGCTGGGGGAGGCCTGGCGGGGCTGAGCGTGACTGCTTGGCTCCCCACTCCTTGCCCCTCACCTGCAGCTGCAGCTCCAATGCCGGCACATGCTGCAAGGACTCCATGGTTCCCCTGACTAGAGCTGGGACAAAGGGAAAAGAGAGGGGGCATGAGAACATCAGGCCCCAGCCCTGCCCCTGCCCCACAGGCTCCCCGGTTGCTTCCCGAGTCCACATGATCATCTGCACTAGTTGGTCTGGCAGCCCCCGCGGTGCTCTGTGGCTGGTTCCGGCTCCCACTGGCCATGTCCACAGCACAGGCTTAAAGGCGCCTTAATTGCTCCAACCATGGGTCTCCAGGAGTGAGGAGAGCCCTCCAGGCCCCAGAGCAGTGCTGTAGCCCCAGCCCCTCATTTCTCTGCTGTTGGCCAGCACCACTCAGCCTCAGACTCAGCTCGGCCAGCGGCCTGGCCAGGCAGGGTGGGAGCAGGCGCCATGCCAGGGCCTCCAGCTCTCTGTCCAGAGGCTCTGGGGCTGGGAGGAGGGAGGAGCACAGGGCAACCCATGCTCCCTGCCAAATTCCCTGTGAAGTTCCAGGTAATGGTAAAGCCCCTAAGGGCAGCTCCATGGTGTTGGCAGTTGGCCCTGCCATGGGGCCTCGGTCACCATGGGGCAGTAGCGCTTGGGCTCTGGGAAAGAGAGCAGCCTGGGTTGGGGGATGGTCAGCTGGTTCAGTGTTTCTCAGAGTTTGAACTCTTTTGCCCCTTTGACAAATGAATATTTCATCCCATCCTACTAAGTCATCTGACATTTCAGTACACAGATTGCAACAGAAACAACCAAAGACCAGGGGGATGCTGCCTCGTTCTCCGTCCTCCACAGCCCCAGAGTTAACTGGCCGACTCCCTGGGGCACTGGTCTCTGGGGTGCAGGAGCAGGGCCAACAGCTCCCCAAGACCCACAGATCCTGACTCTGTGCCCTCGTTTTCTCCTCTGTGCTGTGCAGAGGGCTCTGGCAGCGGCAGGAGGAGCTGGTCACTGTGGCTACTGCCATAGGGCTTTCAGGGCAGCAGGTGGGCAGCATGGCCCGCAACCCCTATGGCCCAGTGTGCACCTCAGGGAGCCCTGCAGAGGGGCCCTGCAGGGGTGTGCAGGGGCTTCTTACAGGGAGGAGTCGGGACCTCGCCCCTCTCACCCTGCTGGGGCTACACTGGGTGTGCAGACAATGCCAGGTCCTCCTATGTGTCCCCTCCGTTGTGTAACTGACCGAATGAGTGACCCCAAGCAACCGCTGCACAGAGGGGCAGTGGCTGCGCAGAGCAGCAGTGACTGTTGAGCTCAGCTGGCTCTCAGCCCAGGAGTCTCCCTGCAGGTCACCCCGCCCTCTCTACCCTCCACCATACAGCCCGTGAGGGCAGGGTCCCTGGTCCTGGGAGCTGCCCCATAGGCTGCTGGCAGCCGTGTCTCGACCACCCAGTCCCTCAGAGGCAGCCACAGGCCCAGCCCAATACCTGGTTCACCTGTCCCACAGTCCCTGGCAGTGTCGTGGCCAGGTGGTGCCTCCAGAGCTGCCGGCCGGCCTGAGGGCCCCGAGTGCCGCAGGAAGCCACAGGGAGCTGCTCCTCACTGCCTGCGGCATCCAGGGGCTGGCCCCGAGAACACGGGGAAATAGGCTGTCCCTAAGAAGGCTCCCTGTAGATTTGGAACTTTTCCTTTATTTTTTAAACCAACAGCTGAGCACGTGTCAGACCCATCAAATGGTTACAGGGGTGGGTTTGTTTTCAGGCCCATTATCTCCAGTTTCGAGTGACACAGCCCCCCTGTAGGATGGGGTCCCCACTGAGGATGGGATCCCTGCTGTAGGATGGAGTCTTCACTTAGGATGGGGTCTCCACTGTGGGATGGGGTCCCCACTTAGGATGAAGTCCCACTGTAGGATGGGGTCCCCACTACAGGATGGAGTCCCTGCTGTAGGATAGAGTCCTCACTTAGGATGGTGTCCCCACTGTAGGATGGGGTCCCTGCTGTAGGATGGGGTCCCTACTATAGGTTGGGGTCCCTGCTGTAGGATAGAGTCCTCACTTAGGATAGTGTCCCCATTGTAGGATGGGGTCTCCACTTAGGATGGGGTCCCCACTTAGGATGAGGTCCCCCTGTAAGATGGGGTCCCCACTGTAGGATGGGGTCCCTGCTGCAGGATGGAGTCCCCACTTAGGATGGAGTCCCCATTTAGGATGGTGTCCCCACTGTAGGATGGGGTCCCCACTTAGGATGAAGTCCCCCTGTAGGATAGGGTCCCCACTGTAGGATGGGGTCCCTGGTATAGGATGGAGTCCCCACTTAGGATGGAGTCCCCATTTAGGATCGTGTCCCTGCTGTAGGATGGGGTCCCCAATAGGATGAAGTCCCCCTGTAGGATGGAGTTCCCACTTAGGATGAGGTCTCACCTTAGGATGGGATCCCCACTTAAAATGGGGTCCCCACTATAGGATAAGGTTTCTGCTGTAGGATAGGTCCCCACTTAGGATGGGGTCCCCACTGTAGAATGGGGTCCCTGCTGTAGGATAGGGTGCTTGCTGTAGGATGGCGTCCCCCCGTAGGATGGAATCCCTACTTAGGATGGCGTCTCCACTGTAGGATAGGGTCCCCACTTAGGATGGGGTCTCCACTGTAGGATAGGGTCCCCACTCAGGATGGGGTCTCCACTGTAGGATAGAGTCCTCACTTAGGATGGGGTCCCCACTTAGGATGGGGTGGCAGGGCTAGGGGAGGGCTTGGCTAGTTGTCACATGGAAGCTGATCCCAAGGCTGGCATCCAGCCCTAATGCCCACCCCTGCATTCCCTTCCCAACCCCTAATGGGCTCCCCTACAGGTCTGCAAAGACAGGGAGGGGCACTATGACTCCTGCTCTCACCAGGGAGGCCAGAATAGGAGTGCCCTCCCCCACCATTAGCGGTTGTATTAGGGGGAGAAGGTCCTGGCCCTCCCTGAAGACTGAGTGGGGGATCAGGTGGTTGCTGGCTTCAAAGAACTCCTGAGGGCTAACTGTGACAGCTCCTAGAGGGGGCAGGGCGAGACCCAGGCTTGGAGTCCACACTGAGCTTGGGGCATCAGCCACCTGAATACCCCAACACTAACCCCGTTGCAGCTCCACAGCCCGGCCCCTCACTAGCCTGGGAGGCCCTGATGCCACCCCTCCACCTTTACAGGGCCCCTGTGGCTGAGGCCTGGCCCCACAGTAGAGCACTTTGCATTCTCTGAGGGCTGCTGGCCAGGGCATGGCCTCTCTGCGCCTTTCAAGGGTTCCCACCCAGGCTGGCCCCTCTGCCTGCCAGGGTCCAGGTGACATGGGCAGGGAAGGGGCCTGTGAGCCCCCTGTGAGCAGACACCAGGCCAGACACAGGGGAATGCTTTAACTGTTCATGAAACAAAAAGTGGCCCTGTGCTACCCTGGGCTCACCTGCAAACTCAGGAATCTGTGAATCTTCCACTTCAAACAGCAACTCATCATGAATTTGGGCAACCAACCTGGAAGACACAGCAGGGGAGGGAGTCACCCTGCAATTCATGCCTTCAAGACACCAAGCTCTGTCTGCCCAGCAAGGGGGGGTGTCAGCTGGGGGGCACCTGGGGTGCTGTGGATGGTGCTGGCCCATCCTCCAAGGTTCTGGCACAGTGTGCCTGAGAGGATGTGGCTCAGTAGGGAGTGGGAGGACCTAGCTGGGGGCCTGCTGCCTGGGGTAACCCGTGTCACCAGGACAGCCCCCAGGGAGGAGGGGGCACAGATTAGAAGTGACTGGTGAGTAGAGGCAGAAGGCCCAAAACGAGGGGCCATGTGATCCCCTGTCTCATCCTGGCCCAGGGAACCTGATGAGGGCACAGTGGGGCTGAGCATTTCGTGTCTCAAAGTCTGAGCAGAAGTGGAAGAAGAGCCCCCCTGGACCGTTATGGGGGCAGGGCCCTGACATGGATTTAGGAGGAGGATCTCGGCTGACCACTGGGTATGGGGCCTGCTGTGAGGGGGAGTGAAGATGAATCTGGGATGTGGGGGGCTCTGGGGAAGCTGGGGGCATCCCCCCATTTTGAAAACTAGCTTAGGGAAGGTGATGGGAGGGACAGTGCCCCAAAAGTTTACTTTTGAAGTTAAAGAAATACTTAATAAAACTTGGAAAGTATATCAAAATTCTAAAGTGCAAAACAAAAAATCCCATATCTCCCCAGACCCCCTTGCGTCCCCCCCAACCCCACCCCAGGCTCCAACAGACAGCACTTGGGAAGCCTGGCCAGGACTGGACATTCACTTCTTCCCGCAGAGTCAAGGCCACACTGTGTGCACAAGACCTCAGCATGTCCCTGCTCATGGGTCCTGGCCCACAGCCTGGGCACCTCGCTGCTGCCCCCACCTGGTCACTTCCTGCCAGAGACCCGCCCTCTCCCTGCTGGGCTCTGGGCCTAGCGGCTGAGCCCCATGGACTCCATCACAGGCTGAGAGAGGTCGGATGCTCATTCCACCTCCCTCCACTGGGCAAGTGCCCGTACTGGAGGCTGCCCGGGCTCCATGCCCCCACCACCCCTAGTGTGTCCCCACCCTTCATGAGCAGACCCCTCTCTAAGCCCCCTCAGGTACCCCCTCAGGGGTGTCTGTCCCTACCTGCTTCAGTAAGGAGAGAAAGTGGGAGATGGGGGCATGGACGCTGTAGGGAAGGGAAGGAGGTGTGGGGGCAGGGGTCTCGGGAGGGCTTAGACTCAAGTGACAGGGGCTCGCAGGTACAAATGTGTGCATGGGGCAGGGATGGAGCAAGGGGGACATCCCCCTTGAGTGATCACCCCCAAGAGTGATCAGCTCTTGAAGCTCCATGTTGGCCGCACAGAACACAGCTGTAGCTGGATTTGGCCAGCACGTACCAGACTAAAGTACCAGGGCTCTTTAGTAGGTGGGATCTGGGTTGGCAGACAAGGGTGGCTCACCTGTCCTCTCAGGGTGGGGGGAGGTGTGGTGTGGGTGACCCACAGGACGGTCTTGAGGACCTGTAGCCCTCCAGGAAGGATAGTGGGCATCAGTGGGGGTCCCTCATGCTCTGCTCTCTGCATGACCTGGTCTTTGTCTCCAGGACTTTGCCTTGCGGGGCAGGGGGCACATCTGGTTTTTGCTGCCTGTCCATGGCAGGCACAGTGCATGCAGGAAGGGGCAGGAGGCAGACCACCCTGGGTAGTGGAGCTATGGGACCAGAGGCACCAGGAAGCCGGGACGGCACAAGGAGGCCCATCGGGCAGTGGTCATCATGATGGTGAGCCCTGACTGGGGGAGGGAGTAGCTCTTCAAACCCAGTGTAGAGATGGGCTGTGCTGGCACTTTCAGTAGAAGATGTGCAGGACTTTGGAGCAGAGATTTATAGGTGTCCACCCTGATCCATTCTTCCTCTTTCTTTGTCATTGGGTGGGGTGGAGATGGGGCTGTGTCCCCAGCTACAAACATTTCCCAGGGCTCTATCTCAGATGGGATGGCCCCTGAGGTGTATACTCTCCAACTTCCAGGAAGGCTCTTTAAAGGGCTGACTTAGCCGGGGGTCAGGTACCCTTTTGACCATCACTACCTTATCCTTTTGCCTATAAGGCACGATGGCTGGAGCAGCCACCTCCATTATGGCACCAAGAGGGAAAGGGCCAGGAAGCTAGAGGGACCTTAGTCCTGCTGCCCTGAACCTTTGAACCAGTCAGCAACTGTGGTGCTCTGGACTTCTCATGATGGGAAAAGAATCCACCTTTTGGAGTCTGAGCTGCTACAGCTGGGCCCATGTTACGAGTGGCAAGTGCACATCTTCACGGGAGTGAATCCACAGAACATCATGCTGGGCCCAGACCATGGCGCAGGCTGCCAGCCCACAGGCCCCCGTGGCTGCCCCTCAGGGAAGTGTCCCTGTATGTTATGTGCAGCCTCTGGCCAAAGGCTCTCGGTACTGCTCTTCCAGAAGTCAGACGAGGCGGGCAGCATCGGCATTTGCCTTCTTAAACTAACTTCAAGGCCTCTGGTGGAGTCTTCAGCTTCCAAAGGACTTAGTTTTCAAATGGGCAGAAACCTCACAATAGGCACTTGTAACTTTTTCCAGATTTAGCAGAAACAGTTTTCACACTTCTTGAAATCACATTGTGAAATTCTAAGCTGCTGGTGTGGCAGCAACCTAAGAATAGGTTTGAACTGTTAGTCACTTACACATTACTCTCACAGCTGACCGTGACATTACCATATTCCTACCTGGAAATTGGGGCACAGGAAAGAAGGAGAACCAGAGATGCCCCTGCATGGGGCAGATGAACACGGGTGTCAGACCCTGTCGTTTCCCAGAAGCGAGCTGACTGCTAAGGTAACTTCCCACCCCACTGTCCTGCACCAGGAAGAAGTAACTGAAGCTGCATAGAACCGCGATCCCGTGGGGGAACACTCTGGAAAAGGCTAACCTCGTCTCCCTGTCTGTGGCCTGCCCGGGGCAGCTCCCCTCCGGGTGCCCCACAGTCCCTCTGTGCCCATCACAGTCAGGCCCTGTAACCACTCCTTGTCTTTCCTGCCCTCAGGAGCAGGGCCCAGGAGGTGCTGGGGACTCTGCCTGCCACCCTTTTGTCTTGGGAAATCCAGGAGCTGCTGCCCCTCACAGTCCATCGAGGCAGCTTCTCCCTGCTGGACTGGCCCTCTCACCTTCCCTGGGCCCCAGGCACCTTCTCTGCCACTTTCTGAGGCTGAGAGCAAGGGCCCCGGGTGCTGAGCTAGGCCTGGCCACGGGGTAGCCCAGGGTTGCTGCTGCATTGTAAGGTGGCCAGAGGTCAGAGGTTTGCCCCCATGGTGAGTAGATGACCCCATCTTCCGCAGACGCTCCTGCACCTGCCCAAGGGCAAAGGAGCAAGTGTCTTCCTGAGGCCGCCACTGCCGTCCTGAGTGGGGAGTCGGGGGGCTCCTGGTCCTCTCCATGGAGGCGCAGAGAGGGGAGAAGCTGCAGGTTGAGGCAGGAGGCCCGGTGCTGGTCTAGCTCTGCATGAACTTGGACACATTGCAGCATGCTCTGAGCCTCAGTTTCCCCTTCTCTACACTCCGGTGTTGGAGCCAACAGTCTCTGAAGCTTCTTTCCAGCTCTGACACGTTCTAACACCCAGAAAGGCCTTTTCATAGACGTCCCATGTCAGAAGAGACAGAGAGGGGAGCCTGCATTGCCTGGCCCTGGCAGGCCCGCAAACACTGACAACTAAACCAATGACCAGTGGGTTGTCTGGGCAATGGCAGGGCTTCAGGTCAGAAGCTCACCCGGCCTTCCTGCTCTGGGCCTGTGGGCAGCAAGTAGAGACTGTCCTGTGGCTCCAGCCCACAGGGGCACTTAGGGGTGATTGGATGAGGCTCTTGGGGTACCTGTTCCTGTTGTATGACCATGAGTCCTCCAGTGATGCACTTCACTCACACTGTTTCAGGCAGATACAAGCTCACACCTAGCTGGTGTCTGCCGCTTCTAGACACAATCCAGAACCTTTTCTATTACTCAGGAGAACAACTCAAGTTCACAAAACACAGAGTATGAAATACCCCACCAGAGTATAAAATTCCACACCAATCTGTTTTATTTTCTAAAACAACACAATGCATTTTGTTATGAAAAGCATTTCCTAAAGACAATAAAGGGTTGATGATAGAAAGATGGCCAGCCGTGTTGTTAAATTCCTGGGTAAGAATAGTTTATGCTCAGCTCAGGACTCTGTCACCAAAAAAGACCCCAGAGCCTCATACACCAACTTCCTTTTCCAACTACCAACTCCACAAAAACCGAAAATGGATCAGACTTTTCTAGATGTACAAGACCATAGGTGCAGAACAACCGTTTGGCCTTTGGTTCCTGCCAAGATGGTGAGCTAGCGCAGCCTGCTCATAGCCTCTCCCAAATTTACCCTACAGAAACTACAGAAATGAGCAGGATGCATGGATTCAGAAACTAATCAGAAAACCATGAGGAAACCCGGGGATCACTAGCTGGAGGCCTCTAGCATTGGCGTGTGCGTGCTGGGGAGGGAGCAGATGGCAGCGAGAGGCGGCAGGAGAAACTCAGCGAGAGGAAAGCATTTTCCATTCTGCTCTTGCCTCTCGCCTCCCAGAGTTACTGCAGAAATCAGAGCCGGCAGCCCAGCGCCCAGTACAGGCACCAGCAGGGTAACTGGGGCAGTGCCTGCCGGGTCTCAGGCATCAAGCCCTCCACCCCTCCCCGCCAGGCCCCTGGCTCCTCCTCATGCTGCTTCTCCCCATGTGTAAGGTGAACCCTGGACCAGAGGAAGTGCCTGGTGCAGGGCTGCAAAATGGGAGGCCCACAGTGCTTCTGTGGGGCCCGGAGATCATCCCTTCCGTTCTCCTTTACTAGGACGCCACCCCATAGTCCCCAGGGCAGGGCCTTGCCTGGTGCACACTTCTGTACAAAGTTGCTGAAATCACCAAAAGAACATAGGGTCCAAAGTAGAAACGAACAGTAGGAAAAATGTGAAGAAATATAGGCGATGGCTTCTTAAAGAAAGAGGGGAGACCTCAGACAAGGAGAAACCATGCCTTGAGAATGTGAAATGATACCAGAAGCCAAGAGTAAATTGTAAGCTCACATGGAAAAGGGGGGCCACAGGCAAGCAGGGCCCTGTGTCCAGAAGGTTGCGGGAGGAGGAGGAGTCCAGCTGGTCTCTGTGCTGGCGACAGGACCCGTGGGGATTTGGGGGAGTAAGCAGGACTCCCCTCGGGGTGGGGGCCAGTGAGCTTCACATTGTGTAGTCTAGAGAAGCTGCTGCCTAACCTTGCCATGAGCTTGAATTCCTAGCGGTGGACATGCTGACCCACCTGGGAAGGGTGTGTCTGCAGGGACAGGCCCATGCTGGCCTGCTGGAGGCCACCTCCGACACGGGCCAATGTACATGGGACCAAGGAGGGAGGGAGCCAGACCTTCTGGGGGCGGACACGCTCACTTCTCTGGGGGACTTCTAGGTTAGCCACCAAGAAGGGATCCTAAGATTCCAGAGGAGAACCCACCCCTCCCACCTGCACCCAGGGCCAGGACTCCGGTGGCCAGGGGTGGGATTGTAGGGGGGTGGTTCTAGGCTGGCAGAGGCTGGGCAAGGGCTCCTTGTCACTCAGCCACCCTGACGCTCAGAGCATGTGTCCCATGGGGAGCGACTGAGGCAGAGACAGAGACTGGACAGGGCTGTGGCCCAGAGGCAGCCGTGGTGGAGCCCTCACCTTCAAGGTGCGTCTGAACATTTGCTTTGGGGGCAGAGACGGCAGCAAGGCAGCAGGAGCTGAGTGTCCGGCACACTGACTGGGTCGTGGCAATAACGGGGCAGGAGTGGGGGCAGTTTGGAGCCCCTGTGCCCTGTCTGAGGGGCTGTGGGTTCCATCCACCTCCAGGGTGGGCAGCTGCATGTGGTGCCCCTTGGGCTGTGCCTGAAGGGGTTCAGACGCATGTGAGAGAAGGGGCCTGGGGAGACGCACTTCTGCACCAGGTGAACCTCCTCAAGAGACCTCATGGTTTGCCGAGGTGAATGGCCTATTGTTACTGCAGGTTGCCTCAAGCAGGCCCTTGGGCGCCTTGCCCAGGCCCAGCCCAGGAGGAAAGGGCTCTCCCGGAAGTGCTGAGAGGAACTCAGGCTCAACGGGGTCCCTTTGCTTGGGGGTTGGTGAGCTTGTCAGAATCAAGATCCATGGATGGGAAATGGCAGGCATTGCTTCAATCCTGGGAGGTGCGTGCACGCAGGCCAGCCACAGAGTGTCGACTCACAGGACAGCAGGTCTCCCACCCAAGCCCGGGGAAAGGCAGGCCCACGCGCTAGTCTGGGCCCTGGGCAGGCTGGCCACTCACTCACTGACCTGGCTGTCAGGGTGGGGGAAGTAGCTACTGCAACGAAGATGTGGATCATAGCCATCTTACAGAGGTCCGCGGCCGAGCCTGTGGGGCACAAGAGGTTCTGTTTCATGAATAGTGTGAAGCCCAGAGCCCCACAGCAGGGACTCAGCTAACAGGGACTGCCCAGCACGTCCAACCTAGGCTGGCTGTCTTAGTTTTCTACGCTGTGTAATGCACGACCCCACATCCAGCAGGTTACAACCACCCAGATCTACCATCTCACAGTTCTTGCAGACCAGGAGCCCAAAATGTGTGGCCAAGTCCTCTGCTCACAGTGTCATAAGCTGAGATCAGTATGTGTTCTGGCCATGCCCTCATCTGGAAGATCGACTAGGGAAGACTCACTTTCAGGTGACCTCAGGTTGTTGGCAAAATTCATTTCCTTGCAGTGGAGTGACTGAGGTTTCTGCTTTCCTGCTGGCTGTCAGCTGTGGGCAGCTCAGCTCCTTGAGGCGGCCCTTGGGTCCTTGCCACAGGCCCTCTCCCCAACAAGCAGTTTGCTCCTTCACAGCCTGCAGGAGGGCATCTGCTGCTGTGAATCTCTGACTTTGACTGCTAAACCTCCTTTCAAGGGCCCACCTGATTAGGTCATGCCCCCCTGGGATAACCCCTCTTTTGATTAACTCAAAGTCAACTGATTATGGACCTTACTTATATCTGCAAACCCTCTTTTGCCATGTAACATGACCTAATCATGGGAGTGGTATCACAGCATATTCCACCACACTCGGGGTGCACACATGAGGTGCAGAATCTAGAATTCCGCCTACCACACCAACTAGCAGAATGACCCAAGCATGGATCTGGGCTCAGTCCCAGTTCCCACTACCCCCCAGCTCTGTGGCCTTGTAATTTCATTGATCCTCAGCTTTCTAACATACAGAATAGGGCTTTGATACAGCCTCCTAGGTTTTGGTAGGGATAAATTACATCAGTCAGGCATTTATTTATCTAACACTGGGTCAGGCACCCTGCAAGGTGCTGGCCAGTGGAGGGCACATGCCTATTCCAGTGCCAGGCACACAGTAGGTGTCTTAACTGGTTCTGACCACGGGAAACAGACTGAAGTTCAGGTTTCCAGTGGCAGTTTTAAATTGCTTTAGCTGTTCATGATTCCTGAGGTAAACGAAGAAGTACAAGTCCTCAATGGACCGCCTTCCTCCACTGCAAGGCAACGGCCCCAGAATACTGATTTGCTTTTTCCCCACAAGCGTGGCAGGAATGCTGGACATGGAAGTCTCGTCTCCGAGGCGGAACTGCTGGCCGTGAGGGGTCTCAGGGCCATGGGAACCCTCTGCTGGGGACAGGTTGTCAGGATGCTTGCTACTTTAGGAAAAGTGCACAGAATGGAGAAACAAGGAGTAGGAAGACAGGGTGGAGAGAGAACAGAGCGTGGGTGAAGGGGAGACCCAGGGAGGCGGGCGCGCCATGGCTGGTCTTGTTGGCTGACGTGTCTGCCTACGTGGAGGCAGAACTTTCTGGCTGGCACTGCTTGTCCCTGGCACCTAGTTCATCTCAGCACAGATGTTTGTTAAGTGGATGCCTGGCAAGTCACTTGTTCAGAGACACAGATAACACAGGGTGGCGGCTCAGCTGGTAGATGAACCAGCCATCCATGGTAGCTCGATTCTGTGGCCAAGCCTCCTAGTCAGCTTCTCACATGAACATATCTTGTGGGCAATTCTTGCTGGAAGAACTCTCTAAAATAGCTTCAATACCACCTTGCACACACGTCGCACACACCTAGTGAACACGCCCTGCACACACCTAGTGAACAGAGATACGTGGTCCTGACCCTACAACTTCCTCACACATGAGAACCCACCTTAGAATCGGAGCCATCTCAGGATTTGGAGGGCTGTCACTGTCCTCAGCTTTTGTCTGGGTGGTCACACCAGGAGACAGGACTCAGGAAGATTCTATACTGAGCCCAGCCCAGATCCTAGCAATCATCCTGCCAGCTGCTGCCATCTTTCCCGTTCTCCAAGCAAAGCACAGAGGCTGAGTCTGACTGGGCAGCGCCGCACATCTGCCTCTCTATAGGATCTTCTGGGGACCTGACCTTCGTCCTGCACCAGTCCAAGCCTCCTGCTCTGCATCTGCTGGGGTCCCTGCCCTCTCTCTTGTTGCAGAACACCACTCTGGAGGCAGGGTGGCATGGCAGGTGCCCTGGGACTGGAATCCTACCTCCAGGCTTCCTCTCTGGGCCCTGGGGGGCCTCGGTTCTCCATTTGTGACCTATAGGATCACAGATGGGGGTGGTGCCCAACCCCCAGGTTACCCTCACAGGGGTAGCTCATGCACGGCACGCAGTGTGGGAAGCCCCTGATTATAGCTCTCTCATTTCACCTCCACGCAGAGACTTGAGCTATTTGACTGCTGCGCCTAAAGACGATTACGGAGTTTTCATAACTAGAGGCAATGTGTCGTACTCTTTCAGCCCGCTTCCTGCTGAAGGCTGCGGGATATGAGGGCACGCTGGGTTTTGGACGTTGAGGTCTTACACCTGCCAGGCATGAGGGGGACAATGGAGAGCCCCAGGCCAAGAGTCAAGGGACTGAGCTCCAGGCCTGGCCTAGTGCTGGCTGGATAGACTCCTAAAGCCTTGGTGTCCCATTTGCAGATACAGGGACAGCATTGCTTCAGACAGTCTCTTGGGGGAAATATCATAACTATAAAGATGACCATGTGCTGAGCACCTGCCATGCACCAGGCATTATTTCACTAGCACCTCCTGACAGTAACATGGAGAACAGGAGCAGGAAATAGTGTGACAATAATCTAGTGGGTGTCACCCGAGAAGCAAATGGATGCAGCAGGCAAGCTGAGGGGCTCTGGGTACCTTGCACCACGAAGTTCACCGCCTGCCGCTCTGCTTGTGCGCGGAGCTTCTGGTCTTGTGCACGGATCCTTGGCAGCGGTCTCCTTCTGCCCATAATGGACACCACATAGCCTAGGTTATGTGAAGGAAAAGCAGGAGGAGAGGCAGAAACAAACAGGCAGTGTAGTGCTGTGGTGGACACCACCCTTTGTGGGCACAATTTCCCTCCGATTATGTCCAGGGGCCCCAGCAGGACCCCTCCCCGCTGCAGCACTGAGTCAGAGCGCTGCCAGGAGCTTCACCCAGAGGCCTCCTGGTCTGTCTGTTCGGCAAGTGGGTTCTGTGGTGGGAAAGCAAGGACAGCAATTGGGTGGCCTTCACTTACCTGGTGGCACATTTTTGCACTCCTTTCTGACTTCTAGCTGTGCTTAGATGTGACATAGGACAAGAGAGGGCAGTTTTTACACTATAGAGTTTGTAAAAGCCACTTATGGGACTTGGGTACAGAAGTAATTCCGTACTGTGGCAGCTGGAATGGGGAAGAAAAGCATTAATTCATATTCCATTTAAGGAGGGGTTGATGGTCTAAGTTGAAGGCCATATCCTCACACATGAGGGCAGATCCAAGTTTCGTGGGGCCTAAAGCCTCCATAATTTGGGGGTCTTTTTTAAGAAAATGAACACGAACATGCTGCCTTGGTTGAGTATATTCCTGACCAGTGATGACTTCCGTTTTACTAGGTGTTGGTGAGAACTAAATCCCCCACTTATGACTTTACATGTCTGAGGATTGGAAGAATTTCCCACATATATCATAATTACAAAAATGACAATGGATTGAGCGCCCACTGTATGCTGGGCAATATATAATTAAAGTCTCTTAAGAGTGACTGGCAGGGAGGACAGGGAGAGCCTGTGCTTCTGACTGGGTACATTCTAGTCTCTGCCTTTTAACATGTCTAGTGATTTTTGACTGAATGATGGGTATTGTGAGTTTTCTGTGTTGAGTGCTGCAGTTTGGTGTCTTCCTTTCAAGAGTGTCAGGTAGATCTAGGTTACTTGCTGATCGCCTGATTCTTTTGAGGCCTGTTTTTAAGCTTTGTTAGGATGGGTTTAGAGTAGTCTTTAATCTAGGGCTAGTTTAGACCTACTACTAAGGTATGACCCTTCTGGGGTCTCTACTGAATGTTCCAGATGTCCAGGAAGGACTCTCCACTTCGATGGTCAGAATTCAAACATTTCCTTGCCCTGTGTGAATTCTGGAAATGTTCAGCCTACTGCTCCCTGGAAATTATTCTGCTTAGTCCTATGGAGTTCCACTCTCTTCACGTGTATCTTAGTTATTCAAAAACAGAGGAATCCTCTGAAGATTTATGGAGTGCTTTCTTTGCACAGCTCCCTCCCCTCTGATACTCTGACTTGTAAAATCTAGCTGCCTCTGCCTCCCCAATCCTAATCCTTGTCTCTTCAACTCAGTGAGACCACTATAATCTGCTTGGGTTTCCCTCCTGCACTATGGTCTGTGCCTCTAGACACAGGGAGCTCAGAGGGCTCACCTCCGTTGTTTCTCTTCTCTCAGAGACCAGAGTGATACACTGCTCAAGACCCAGTACCTGAAAACAATTGCTTCATACATATTGCCCAGCTTTCTAGTTGTTTATTGTGGGAGGAAAGTCTGAACCCAGTTACTCCTTTGTGGCCCAAAGTGGAAGCCCCTGCTCCATACATTTCATTTTAAGTTTTTTTTTTTTTTTTTTTGAGGATCAGCCCTGAGCTAACATCCATGCTAATCCTCCTCTTTTAGCTGAGGAAGACCGACCCTGAGCTAACATCTATTGCCAATCCTCCTCCTTTTTTTTCCCCCCAAAGCCCCAGTAGATAGTTGTATGTCATAGTTGCACATCCTTCTAGTTGCTGTATGTGGGACGTGGCCTCGGCATGGCCAAAGAAGCGGTGCGTCGGTGCACACCCGGGATCTGAACCCGGGCCGCCAGTAGCGGAGCGTGCGCATTTAACCGCTAAGCCTCGGGGCCAGCCCAGCTCCATACATTTCAAATCTTGTTTCTCCTCTACTTGATTCTTGTAGTGTTGGTGATCATAATTACTGTTCATACTGTGAGCTTATCTCTAGCTCTGTACCCTCATGTTGCTCAGGGAGTGGTCAGGGGTGGAAGGAATGCTCCTGGAAGCCATTCCTATGCCAGGATAGTTACCATCCTTCAACCATACATGGAAGGAGCAATAAACCACAGGAATATCTACATTGAAATCTGAATTAAATGAGTCATCAACTTGACTTCCCCTTAGCTGGATTCCAAAAATGGCTGTGGCCACTCCGATGCCACCTGGCATTGAAAGGAGTACGATGGGGGAAGCTGGAGAGGAAGTTAGTCGATCGCAGTTAAAATACCTTGCTTTTGCCAAGGTATTAGTCTTAGTTGATTACAGTTCAAATATCTTGCTTTTGCCAATTTTACAAAAGATGTGACCATGTGCACAGGGCCTTAGGAGGGGCCCTGAATCTTCAGCTTCATCAACATCATGGTAAATCTGACTCGTCCACCTGTTCCAACTCCAGGCAGGTCAGGTCTGCATGCATGGAGAGCACATGCTCACACCTGAGGGCTTGACCCAACCCTCCACATGACCTTCTTCACTCCTCCTTTCTGCAGTTGTTAACTGCCTCGTTGGCATCTCTGACCTGTGGTTCTCCCTCCATCCCACCTTTTACTGAGCTAACACTCCTGTCACCTCTAGACTTATTCCCAGGTGCTGGCTCTGACTTCAGTCTCTCCTCCCAATCTCTTTTCCACACTATTGCTGGAATAATTTGTGAAAAACAAAACCCAGGTTCTTTCCATGGCTTGTGGAGTGCCACTCAGTGTCTGGGCTCCACATCTGCCCACCTCCCCACCTGCCCACCCTGGGCACCACTCCTGGTTCTTCCTGGCTTTTCATGTCTCGGCTCAGGTCTCACCTCCTTGTGAGGCCATGGCTAACAGCATTCTCCAGGGGCCTCCCTCTGTTCCTCTCTGCCTCGGTGCCTTGTTTGTTTCTTTCACGCCCAGGATCCCATCTTCCTAACACTGTCTGAAGATACTTGTTTACTTGTGGGTCACCTGTCTCCCCCTGGATTATAGCTCCAGGAGAGCAAAGAGCTCGTATCCCTGGCATCAACACAGTGCCTGACATGAGGCAGGCACTCAACAGATGTTTGTGGAAGAATTCAATGATCGTTTGAGTATTTCTTTACAATGTCCACCCAGAAGTGTAATTGCTGGGTCAAAGGGCATGCATACTTCACATCTGGATCTATAAGCCCCATGGCCCTTCAAGGAAGTTAAGTACAAGGAAGGGATGCAGAGCCGAGTAGCAGGGGAGGGCGCTGGCTCTGGGCCCCAGCTGCCTGGGGGTGGGTCCAAGCCAGGCACCACCCGTTAGGCTGTGTGAACTTGGGAAGCTACTTAACCTCTGGATGACTCGTTTTCTTCATCTATAAAATGGGAATAATGATACTGCCCACTTTTTAGAGTTGCAGTGAGGATTACATAATAAGTCAATTTATGGAAGGCCATTGAAATTGTGCCTATGGTTGGTGCTACACAAGTTCCTGCATTTTTATTGTATTTCCATTTACAATGATGCTGGCTCCATATACTCTCATCAACACTGGGTTCTATCACTACTTTAACATTTCAAAATTGATAGTATTTTATTTTTCCCAATTGTGGGGCTCCTGGGTCCAGGAATGGTCAGGGCCTGTGGGGCTTCAGCGAGGATGCAGGTGGCGGGGCTCACTCCAGGGGAGCTCGAGACATGTTAGATGCTCGCCCAGGGATGGAAACAGTTTGCTGGCTTTCTTGCGGCCCGCACCAAGGCTGCAGGGAGCTGAGTGCTGAGTGTGCCCAGTGCAGGAGGATCCCACGTGGGCTAGTGCTGGGACACATGGTCAGGCCCAGGAGGAGCCTGTGAAGGGGCCCCTGGAACTTAGGGGCTTGTGCACGGGCTCCAGAGAGAAAAGTCATCGTTGAGCTGCTAGGAGAGTCCAGGAAAGCCTGGACCCTGAGGGAATGTGCTGGAGCCATTGGGGAAGGTTGGCCACCGAGGCTGCTTCTCCAGCTGACTATATTTTTCATTCTCGAGTGAGTGCTGGGTTCTCTGCTTTCCCTGTACCTATCCTGGATCCTCTTTCCTGTCATCTAGTTCATGAATTTCTGCTCTTACATGTATTTTCTTCCTTCTTCTGTCTGTAATTTACTCTGCTGCTCTTTTCCAAGCGTCTTGTGTCAAACACAACCCATTTATGTTCACACATTTCTTTCTTTCTTATTAAAATACTCTCACAGTATTCCTCCATCTCTAAGTGAGCTGTCAGCTTGGCCATGTCTCACAGTTTCTCATATGAGATACTTTTACTGTCATTTATTCCTAAATGTTGTAATTTTCTTGAGACTTCTTTTTTTAATCCTAAGTCTTTTAGGAGTGCAATACATTTCCAAATATGTGGATGGATGGCCACACATATGGATAGATATAAAACTACCTTTTTATTCCACTGTGGTCACAGAACACGTCCTATTTGATACTTTCTGAAATTTGTGACCAAATTGTGGTGAAATTTTGTAAATATACCATGTGCTTTTCATAAGAAAATACGCTCTCCATTTTTAGGTGCAGGATTTTATCTCTCTCAGTCTGTCTATCCATCTGTCATTTTCTAACTCAAGCTTGTTAGTTTTGTTTCCTCAAGCAGAGCCTGGCTCTGGACCCTTCTCACATGGAGGCTTTTGGTCCCATTTATCCAGCAGGGGCTGGACACTCACCTAGTTCTCACCTACCCAGCCTCCATCAACCTAGCTCCACCCATCAACACACTACCCTCCCATCTGTCTACCCACCCACTGGAGGAGCAGGGGCCAGGAGACCACCCAGCTGCTGCAGGCCAGGCATGGGAGAGGGAGAGGGGCCAGCCAATGGTTTTGGCTGCAGCTGGCTCACCTGTCTGGTGACACTGGGTAATAGCTGCTTGGGCAAAGTCCTTGATTTTCTTGTACTTCTGCAAAAAACTCTCCAAAAACCGGGCAGCTTCCTGAACAGTAACTCCAAGGCAAGCAGCAAGCCGCTCTTTCCCTGTATGAGCAGAAACACTTAAGATGAGAGGCAAGCCCTAACTCACACTCAGTGGGAACTGAGAGCACAAGCCACCAGGCAATGACCGCCATAGAAGTAAGCCAACAGAAGGGCTCTCAGAAGACTCGGTGAGTCAAGGTCCAGTTGGCACCACTGTCTCTTCTGATTGGTCAGGATGGTGTTGGGTTTGGCTTTATACCTGAGTGCTAGATGCTGGTCAACCTGGACTGGGGCCTGTTAAACATTTATTTATTCAACAATATTGACTGAGTGCCTGGCAGGTGCTGCAGGTGAAATGTGAATGAAGTAGATACAGTCCCTGATCTCAGCCTCTCCAGAGGGAGACCTGATTCCAGAACTAGGGGAAGCTGGAGAGGGGCACAGAGGAAAAGAGGAAGGGAAATTCTATTACCAAAATATGAGAAAATGGTACCTGGGAACTCCCATCTTTGGGATTTTTATTCTGAGACAAACATTTTTGGTCCAGACCAATATTTGGTTCCTAGAGGATGCAGGTGTTCTTGTGAAGCTTCTTATAGCAAAGTCTCTGGTCGGGACAGCACCTCAAGTTCTGGGATGGCACCCTAAGTTCCAGCGCAGCTAGCTGGGTACATGTGCTGGGACCACACCGACCTGGGTCTGTGTCCAGGCCTATCACCCACGGGAGGTTCTGCAGGGCCTTGGGGGAAGTTACCTGACCTTCAATAAACCCTGTTTCTTCATCTATGAATTAGGAACACTAGTCCTTATCCCCAACGGTTGTTAAGAGAACCCCATGAGCTGAGGCAGGTAAAGCTCCAAGCAGAGCCTGGCTTCTACTTGGTACTCAATATGGAGTCATTCTCTCCTATTTTCCTCCAGAAAAGAAAAATAATTTAAATAGAGAATGAGGAACCTATGAGGACAGGCATGGGAGCCTTGCTGGACAGCAGGATCATGGGCAAAGCCCTGGGCTTCTAGGGGCTGCATCGATGCAGGGAACCCCAGAGAGACAAGTGGCTAAAGACCTGAATTCCTGGGAGAGCATGACCAGGACCAGGAACGGGCTTGTTGTCTTCTGCACGGGGTCAACCCTGGGGTCACACTAGAGAGTACTCCAAGGGGCTTTCAGACAACATGGCCCAGGAACCACAGCCAAGGGGGTGGAGACGTGGGGTCTGTGAAGACCATAGAAGAGACCTCTGAAGGAATGCAACTGATTGACCTCTCAGATTCTGTCCTCTCTTCAGCCAGGCTACTCCTGGCCCTGGCCAGCTGATGCTTCCAGTGGTTCTAGCCAGAGTGCTCACATCTTGGGAGAGTGATGGGGCAGATGTTTGCTTCCATTGCTTGGCCAGGAAAAGTGGGAAAGGCTGGGGTGCGCTGTGATTCCCAAAGTTTCTCCCCAAATGAAAAAACTCCAATTTCCCTTTTAGGGCTTAATTAAGACCGTATGATAGCTTCATGGATACATTATACTGAAACAATACATCGACAACTCTTTCTTTCTGTGACATTCCAATCATTGCTCCTCAGCTATGGCAGTCTAATGGAAAACTCCATTGGCTTTCAAATAGAAATCAGATGGTGGCTAGACACTTCAGGCTGGTCTGGCCAGGTGGGACCTTGAGTCTTCTTCTCAGCCAAGTCCTTTGTCATATTCTAATCTGCTGTTAAGCCCAGTCAGTGAATTTTTATTTCTGATATTGAAGTTTTCAGTTTTAGAATTTCCATTTGGTTCTCTTTAATTTCTGAGATTCCCCTTTTTTCATTCATTATGAGCATATTGTCCTTTACATCCTTGAGTATGGTTATAATAGTGACTTTAGAATCCTTGTCTGCTAATTTCAACATCTAGGTCATCTCCGGATCTGGTTCCATGATTGCCTTTTCTCTTGAGTATGGATCAAGTTATCCTGTTTCCTCATATGTTTAGTAATTTTGAATTGTATCCTGGATATTGTGAATGAAATGTTATAGACACTCTGGATTCTGTTATGTTTTTCTCAGGAGTACTGATTGTTTTTTTAAAGGGGGCAGTTAATTTGGCTGAAGTCTAACTTCAAACTTCATCCCCTGGCAGTGGGCAGCAAGTGAAATCGCAGACCAGTCCTTTTAGCCTTTGCTGGGCTGTTTGAAGTCTGCCCTACTTATGCATGGTTAGGGGTCAGCCACAGATCTGGGCAGAGTTCACACCCAGGATTTGGTGTTCTCCTTTGCTCTCTTCTTTCTGAGATTTCTCCCTTCACTTTCCAGATTCTCTGGTTGCTTCACACTTGGTGCTCTGGTTCTTTAAGCTAGTAAGACTATGGGTTTCTATCAGAGTTTTAGCCACTCATAGCACTGACTAAGGTTTGCCTTCAGGTGAAGAGCTATAAAACGGGAAGCTCACATTCCTTCCTTCCAAGTGTCAACCCACCTCCAATTGCTGTCTGCTTTTGGTCACTTTTCAGTACCTTTAGGTAGTTGTTTATTATATTTTTTCAATACTTTATAGTTGATATCTGTGGGACAGTGGTCTGATGGGAGCTACTTGGCCATTGCCAGAAGTCACATTTCTTCTTCTCAATATCTATGGCTGAGAAAGAATTCTTTTGCTTTCTTCTATAGAGCTGTTGGGATATCTGAAGGGCAAAGTCTCTATACATGAAGAAAGCCTATTTACAAGAGAAGCAAATGAAGTGGCAACTCCAAAAGAAGCAGAGACAAAGACTGAGATGGAGATAGAGGGTCCAGTCAGTTCTCCAGACCCTGGATTCTTGCTCCCTTGCCAGTGGGTCTCGTCACATTCAAAGGCCACTGTCACCCTGCCCCCAAACAGGACAACTTTTGGCTCTGTGAGGGCTTCTGTTCTATGCCTCCTGTAGATTTGCCACAGGCAAATCTTCTTCTCCCACAACTTACTTTCACACTTCGATTCAATTGATCAGGTTTCTCCTGTTTAAGTTGTAATCATACACAGACCTGTCTCCCCGAAAGCATCCCTGAGAGCAAGGATCCCCTCGGGGGGAGCATGAGGTGCTACTCATCTCTAAATCCTATATGAACACACAATTTGACTTTTCCCACAGATGGCTAATTACATCCTGTGTGTGTGTGTGTGTGTGTGTGTGTTACCATTTTAACTTTAGGAAGACAATCTTCACTCTCTTTTCTCCAAGTGCTCTTTCACCCCATGCATAATTGCTAACAGTTTCTCACTCTTGTTTGTAGTTCTAGGCCTAGCGAGTGACTGGCAGAGTGGGCCTCCAGGAGTGCTGGCTGGTCTAACTGGAACAGACAAAGGCCCACACGTCCTTCACAACTCAGCCCAGGTGTTGCTGCTCTGGGCAGTCTGCCCACCTCTCCCAGCCCTATCTGGCCAGGGGCCCTCCTCTGGGCTCCCTTGGCCCCAGCAACATTCCTGAACATGCACTGATCACTCAGGGTTGTCCCCTCAGGCCTGTTCATGGGTCTCTTCTGACAAATGCCTTCCCCCATGGTCCTCCTGGTGCCCAGTGTGGAGCCTGGCATGTGGCACACACTTGGTGATGCCTGTAGATCAAATGTGACTGGATACGGAAGCAAACTTAAGAAATATCAAACAATTTGAGAAGAATCAAGTGTTAAACTGACTCTAACAGCCATAGGAGCTCAGAGTAAGACCAGAGAAGTCAGGAGTTGCTTCCTGGAGGAGGTGACTCTTGAAGGGTTCAGAGGGGGCCATCAGTAGGACTGGGGTTGGGGGGGCGGGGTGCACCATTAGCTGGCAGGTGCTGAATTCACTTGACTGAAGGAGGAGCAGTCAGCCCCCGGGTCAGCGCTTTGGGTCAAGCCCCCCCAGGTAAACAGCTGCTCCACAGCTCTGCGTGCTTGCTACCGTTTCTGGTAGGAATAGCTCTCCCCTGGCAGTGGCCTGGCAGGTCCTAAACATCGGGAGAATGAGTCTGAGGGAGGTGTGGCGACCAGGCTGCCCCACAGGCCCCAGGAGGACTGCACAGACATGGTGCCCCTTTTGAGCATCTTCTCTACTTATTTCACAGTCCTGCTTCTCCTTCTACTGTCTCTCATCGTAGTCTTCACAACAATCACGCCACCTGAAGCTATGCCTCTGCCACATGCCCCCAGCATTCAGAGCAGCAGCTTCCAGACCCCTCAGTGGCACGTTTATGTGAAAACATATCATTGCCACCCATGAAAACTAGCTGATTGAAAGCCCTTCTCTGAATTTCCAAAGGGTCCCTGGCAGCCTAGAAGACCCAACATGTTCACTTGACAAGACTCTGGTCTCACACACGAGGAGGACAGGTGCAGCCCCGTGCCGATGCTGGCAGATGCACAGTAATCTAGCTGTCAAGCTGGACGGTGACAATGGGAACAGCAGAAACCGAGGCTTGGGGTGGGAACCCTGTCACTGTCAGGGCTAAAAGCAGACAAATTACCCTTTTCGCCAACATCACAGCTAATGACTCACTGCTTATTTACAAAGTGGAGTTCTTTTTCTCCCCAGAAAAAAATAAAGTGAATGCTCTAGAAGGTGCCAAACCAACAGAAGCAAAGACTGACTTTAGGTGCATCGGGGAGCAGTGGGAGAGGGGTGCATCCTGCCGTCCTCATGAAGCCCCACATGGGCGCTCAGCACAGTCACCCTCTGTCCCTCTCTCCCAACTGGATCTGAGGTGGTGGTCCCACCACCCCACAGAGCTGCCCGGTCTTGGCGGTGTGTACTGGCATACCACTGAACTGAAGGAGGACCCAGATGTGGTGGCAGATGCTAAAGATGAGAGTTAGCTGGTGCCAGGTACTGCTCTAACTACCCTACCTCTGCATTAACTGAGGAGGTGATTGGGGCAGAGAGGTGGAAGGCCTTGTATAAGTTCACACAGCCAGGAGGGGACAGAGTCAGGACTCTAGCCTGGGCTGCCTGGCTGGGGAAGCAGAGGCAACGTTCTGCCTGCAGAGCCAAAGCTAATGGTAGGTCTGTCATATGTGATTCTGGAGCAAGGACGCAAGGTACCCAAATCTAACATAATTTGGCAGAACGCTGCCTTCCCTGCCAGACTGAGACCCAGGAAGGCTCCTGAGCACGGCAGAGAGGCGGCCCAGAGGAGGAGATAGACCAAGCAAGTCTGAGGAGCAGGAACCCAATGTCATCCTGCTATCTCTCACTAAATTCAGTTTTTTAAAACAAAGTCTCTCAGTCTGTTTCCCAAAAACTATGTACATAAAATGTTTTCGAAATTAGGGCTGAAAGACTAGCAAATTCATTAATTTGTTCACTGAGTATTTATTGTACACCTGCTTCACATCGGCAGTGGGCAGCGCTGGCAGAAGCTCCTGCTTCATGGAGCTGGTTCGGGTTGGGAGAGTGGGACGGTGACCAGATGAGCACATCAGAGCTGGCAGGTGCTCTGGAGAAAAAGAGGCAGCGAAGAGAATAGAGAGTGCTGCATGGAGGGCGGGCAGGGACCAGAGGCTTAAAAAGGGGCATGTGGCAGACTGACTCCTGCCTCCCCCGGAATGTGGGCAGACCTGTCACTTGCTTCTAACCACCAGAGCACGGCAAAGGCGCTGGGAAGCATGTGACTGTGCGATTATGTTACTGGCATCTCTCCTTCCCTTGCTGGCTCTGAAGAACGAAGCCGCCATGCCTAGGCTCTGCTTACATTGGGAGGCCCACATGGCAAGAACTGAGGAGCTGACAGCCAGCAAGAGACTGAAGCCTGCTAAAGTGCATCTCCTCAGTCGAGTCTCAGAGAGACCACAGCCCTGCTGACACCTTGACTGCAGCCCTGCAGAGGACCCAGCTAAGCTGTGCCTGGACTGCTGACCCACAGACACTGTGAGATAATGAATGTGTTACACAGAAATGGAAAACTAACACAGTGGTCAAGGAAGGCTGAGAAGGGGACAGTTGAACGAAGATCTGGAAGAAGTGAAGGGGGAGCTCTGTGGATGTGGGGGCTGGGCTTCCAGCAGAGGGAACAGCAAGTGCAGAGCCCTGCAGTGGGAGCCGGCCTGGCTGGTTTGAGGTGGGTTCCAGACTCATCACAAGGAGGTCACTTACTGCCCCAGGAAGAGGTACTTTGGAAGCATGTCAAATGGCACCACAGTCACGCTGGAGAAGTGCGAGGTGGCTCTTATGTATAATTGACTGTGCGTTTGCCCAGATATTCTTGTACTGGAAGTTTTTTCAGTTTTGCTGCCTTTCCTTGAATGAACAAAGGGTTTCCACGGCTGGGAGATGAATCCTCTTCTTAGAGTTTTTGCACAAGCCCTGATGCTCAAAGCAGAACTGATACAAGGGAGAAGGAGGTCCTCACAGGTCTGGCCAACAGCCAGATGGACCCTTCCTTAAGGAAGGGCTGGCTGCCCATAGCCCTCCTGACCCTCTCCCTTGCTCTACCAAGGGGACATCAGGTTTCACTGATTCAGCATGACCTAGAGGGGGAAAAGAATTTAACAACCCCAGACAGCCCAAGGTCAAGAAGTCAAAGAAGGAGGGAGAGTGAAAGGGAGCACAAGACCTGCTCTGCCTTGGGTCCTGGGGCTGGAAAAGGAGGGCGAGGGGAACAAGGGCGAGGATGATGGGAGGAGAAGGAGGGAGAAGGGAAGGAGGAGGAGGTGGGGGAGGAGAGGAAGGAGCGTTAGAGTTAGGGTTAGGGTGAGGGTCTCTGGCATCTCAAAGCACAGAAATGGCTCCCAGCACAGAGCCACATGATGCAGGGGTGGGGCCAGATTCCTCAGGCTCACTCTGCAACACTCCTCCCAGCGGGGCGACTTTGGATGACACTCACTTCCACGCCTCTGTTCTCTCACCTGAAAAGGTTGGTGTGAGCACTGAGCAAGTTAATGGCCGTGAGTGGTCTGACTGATGTTTGGTGCTTCGCAAATGTCATCAACGTTTGTGTAAACCATACACAGCGACTCACAAAATGAGCTCCACAGGCCGAGAATGATTTCTCTAAGGCACAGCCACATTTAACAGGGGCACAGTACCAGAGCCACCTCCATCTGGCCTACGAGTGACACCAAGACTTCGGCCGGGCCCAGGCGGGCCTGCAGCCTACCTGCTCCGTAGACCACAGAGTACACCACCTTCTTGGTCTGCTCTCTGTCCATATGCGTCACGCATTCTGCGGGAATTTCCTTCCTGCAGGGAAAGATGGCATGACATCAGGCACATGGGTACCCTGTCTGTAGAGAGGGCCGCAAGAGTCCAAACCACGCGCACCATCCCATCACAGTTCTTTCTCTGGAGGTTCTTAATGGTTTCAGATCAGGCCTGTCACATGTGTGACAGAGATATTCAACATCTGCAGTATCTGGCTCAGCATGGGCCCTCCAAACAGATGCTGACAGTGAGCCTATCGCCAGAGCCTATTGCAGCTGCAAGCTGGCCATTCCTAGGGTGACCACAAACCAAAACCAAAAAATGCTTTCACCAAAGGAGTGCCAACCCAACTTGAGGAAAGCCTGCTTCCAGTACTGGGGTGCTAGGGCCTGGTGTCTGGTCCCTTTGCAGGACTGGATGAGCAGCCTCTGCCTTGCCTCCCACAGATGGAGGGGCTGGCGGGTGAGCACCGTCCTGGGGTTACAGCACTCAGACAGAATAAGGATCAACTCAGCATCTGACCGGCATATGAACCACAGAGATCTGTAAAGATTAGAACCGAGATGTCTGAGGAGTGTGGGGCTAGCGGGGACCTGGAGCCCCTCCTCCTTGCTAGGCCACCCTAGCCTAGCCGCGGGCCTCATATGTACCAAGTCTCCCTGACAGAGGGAGCACTTCAGATTCAGGAGGAGAGAGAGAGAGAGATAGAGAGACAGAGGGAAGGAAAAAGAAAAAGAAAAAGGAAAAGAAGAAGAAGAAAGAAACGAAAAAGGAAAAGGAACCTGTTCCCCTCTTTGTGGTTGGCTCTGTGCTGGGCCCTCCTTCAGTGCTCAGCCAGGCTGTTGACAGTGCACCTTAGTCTTCACTTCCAGCTGGCAGTGAGCCTAATGATCAGCCTGAAGTGAAAGCTGAGGGTCTTCTCAGGTCTCTTCCAAGCGGGCATGCACTCTAAATTTCCCAGTGTACATAGGTGCTTTGAATGCCCTAACTTGTTAAAGAATCTCTCCCCAGCTTTTCCTCCCAAGCTTTCAACGCTCTATTATTTGCCTGGACTGTAATCTTTTGCTCCAAGCGGCTGCAGGTTGTTCATCTTACAATGTTTTTGAGCACGCTCACCACTTTTCTGCTCCGAGTGAGTTCTGAGTTAGGCGAAACAAGGCCTGTGTCAGTCTTCAGGCAGCTCCCAGACAAATTAGAAGAGACAAACACGATTCTTTGTGAATAAGGTCTGCTTGCTCCCTCTGGACCCAAGGAACAGGGTACCCACTCTGGGTACACGGGCTGCTATGTCGGCAGGGATGGGGCAAAGGCAAGTGGAAACACCACAAAGCTCTCCGACTGTTTTCAAGTTGCCTTTTTTTGATTCAGCATTTGCTTGGTTGCTGTAAACTGCTGACCGCTTTCCAGAGACCTGACAAGGTTGGTTCTGACCATTTTTGCTTGATTTTTGATGTTTTTGTCGGGGAACAGGCCCTCAGAGCTGTATACTTCACCATTTTCACTGATATCTTAGAGTTCATTACTTTTACCACCTGATTTCTAAGTACCAGTGCACTACTTTTTGTTCTTTTCCCACTGCGTTAAGCTATTTTGCCCACTTGTTTATCTCACCCTTGAACTTGGCATTGTTAACAGCTGTATTTAGATAAGAAGCAAAAAGCTCAAGTGTACCCACGCTCAGAACAAATATGTGTCAACTCCTATGTCACCAGCCCTTGCTCCCCACCCAGTTCCTTTTATTTTGGAAATCTCACAGGTGCTTCAAACCTGCCCAGGAAAGACACTGCTGACAAACTTACTAAGACTAACTTTCCCTGCCACCCCCGAGGGCTGAACGCAATGCAAGTGGATGATGTCTTGGCTCAAACAGACGGATCTGATGACAACTGCAGGGAGGGGGAGGAGGGAGGCATTTTGGAGCAGGGTGCCCCTCAACCAGACCACACAGGTGATCTCCCCTCAGTATGCCAACGGAGTTGGAGAGTTGTCTGAGAAAGCAGCATTAAACTCTCCCAGAACCTGCTTCTTCCCAGAGATCAAAGCATGACAAGATCCAAACAATATAATCAATAAATATATATTATGGACATACGTCAAAACCATGCTCTGTTAATAGAGAGTATACTTTCTTCTCGAGCTCATATGGCCTATTCACAATAACCCATCACCTATTAGGGCACACAGAAAACATCAAAATGTTGCACAAGGTAGAAATATTAAAGTAACACTCTGATCACAGAGCAAGAAAACTAGAAATTAAAAACCAAAACTAAAAAACCCCATCTACCTAGAAATAAAACAAAAAACACTTCTATCAGACAACTTTTGGGTGAAGAGAAATACAAACAGAAATTACATAATTTCTTTTTTTTTTTTAAAGATTTTATTTATTTATTTTCCCCCCAAAGCCCCAGTAGATAGTTGTCTGTCATAGCTGCACATCCTTCTAGCTGCTGTATGTGGGACGCGGCCTCAGCATGGCCAGAGAAGCAGTGCGTCGGTGCGTGCCCGGGATCTGAACCCGGGCCGCAAGCAGCGGAGCGTGCGCACTCAACCGCTAAACCACGGGGCCGTTCTAATGAAAACACTATGTGTCAGAGGCAATGGACTACATTTAAAGCAGTGAGGAAATTTCATAGCCTTAAAAGCCTATATTAATAAAACAAAAGAATAAAAGTATACGAATTAAGTTTTCAACTCAAAAAGCAAGGAAAAGAACAACAACAAAGCAAATCAAAAGAATACATAAGGAGGGAAATAATAAAGCTAGAATAAACTGAGGAGCAGAAATCAGTAAAGCTGAGAACAGCAAAACAGGAGATCAAATGAATAAATAAAAATCCTGGTTCTTCCATGCCTACCCAGACTAGGGAAACTAAAGAAAAAATAAGCAAGTGGGACTTGATCAGATTAAAGAGCTTCTACAAGACAAATGAAACCAGAATCAAAATGAACAGACAACCCACCAGCTGGGAGAAAATATTTGCAAAACATATATCTGACAAGGGGTTAATCTCCATAATATATAAAGAACTCACACAACTGAACAACAAAAAACAAACAATAGGTCAAAAAATGGGCAGAGGAAATGAACAGACACTTCTCCAAAGAAGATATACAGATGGCCAATAGGCACATGAAAAGATGTTCAACATCACTAATCATCAGGGAAATGCAAATCAAAACAACACTAAGATATCACCTCACACCCTTTAGAATGGCTATAATCACCAAGACAAAAAACAACAAATGTTGGAGAGGATGTGGAGAAACAGGAACCCTCATTCACTGCTGTTAGGAATGCAAACTGGTGCAGCCGCTATGGAAAACGGTATGGAGATTCCTCAAAAAATTAAAAATAGAAATACCCTATGATCCAGCTATCCCACTACTGGGAATCTATCCAACGAACCTGAAATCAACAATCCAAAGAGGCTTATGCACCCCTATGTTCATTGCAGCATTATTCACTATAGCCAAGAAGAGGAAGCAACCCAAGTGTCCCTCAAGTGATGATTGGATCAAGAAGATGTGGTATATATATACAATGGAATACTACTCAGCCATAAAAAAAGACAAAATCGTCCCATTTGCAACAACATGGATGGACCTGGAGGGTATTATGTTAAGTGAAATAAGCCAGAAAGAGAAAGACAAACACCGTATGATCTCACTCATATGAGGACTATAAACCAACACATGGACAGAGAAAAACTGTATTGTGGTTACCAGGGGCAAGGGGGGTAGGGGGTGGGCACAAGGGGTGAAGGGAGACTGACATGGTGATGGACAAACAAAAATGTACAACCAAAAATTTCACAATGTTATAAACTATTAAAACATCAATAAAAAAAATCCTGGTTCTTGTAAAAGATAAAACAGACGATAAAAATTAAACCATTAGCTGGTTTAATAAAAAAGGAGCAAGTACAAACACACAAGATAAGAAATAACAAGGAAAAGTAACTACAGATAGGCAGGAAGTTAAGAAAAACCTTTCAAAAATTACTTTGCACAATTCTATGCAAGTAAATTTGAAAATCTAGGTGAAATGGACAATTTTTTAAGAAAATACACTTATAAAAATTCGTCCCAGTAGAGATGAAAGTTCAACAGATCAACATCCATAGAAGAAATAGAGAAAATTCTTAAGGAACCACCCCACACAAAAGCACCAGGCCCAGATGGATTCAAAGGGGAATTCTATCAAATCTTTAGAGACCAAACAGTAACCATGCTGTATAAACTGTTTCAGAGTGTAAAAAATGAAGAAAAACATGCAAATTTATTTTATTAAGCAAGTATAACAGTTATACAAAACATGATAAACAGGGTATAATAAAGGGAAATTACAGACCAATATTTCCTATGTATATTGATTGATGTAACAATCCTACATAGAATATTGGCAAGCAGAGTCCAGCACTACATTAAGAAAATAGTACCCCATGACCAAGCAGAGTTTATACCAGAAAAGCATGGTTGGTTCAATGTTAGGAAATCTATTAACATAACTCACCACATTAACAGGACTAAGGAGAAAATTACATGATTACATACTTGTTGAAAAAGACCTATGACAAAATTCAACACCTACTCCTAATAAAAACTCTTGAGAAAATAGGAATAGCTGTATACTTCCTTAAAATTATAAAATAGTACACCTCAATCCTATAGCTAGCATCTTATTAATGGGGAAACACCAGAGGTGTTCTTACTAAGGTCAGAAACAAGGCAAGGATGGCCACTACCTCCACTACTATTTAACATTGTTCTGAAAGTATTAGTTAAATAATTAGAGGCATGAGAATTGGAAAATTTTTTAAAATAAAGGATATTTAGTTGCAGATGACATGATAGTATTCCTGGAAATCCCTAGAGAATCTACGATAAAACGATTCAGCAAGGTAGCAGGAAATAAAATTAATATAACAAGTCAATAACCTTCACATACACAAATACAATATTAACAATAAAGACAAAATACTTAGGAATAAACTTAACAAGAAATGCGTAAAACTTATACGAA